CCGTGCAAGGTCCCGGACTAGCCCCAGGGTGCCATCACTCCAGCGCGCCATCTCCGAGCCGAGGACCAGGAGGCGCTGTGGCCCCGGGCAAGCAACTCGGGGAGGTTGCTCGCTTCGTCGCCCTGCCGTTCGCAGAGCCGCCCCGTCCTCCCCGGGGATGAAGAGCACCCGAGCGAGCCAATGGCGACACAAGCGTGGCATTGCAGCACAGCGCCTGCCCCCAAGGGGAAACGCCATAGATGACTAGGTCCAAGCAGCTCCTATCACGCGCCTCAACGCCCGCAGCAGTGGTGTGGGCAAGCCATTGCTGTGGCGCCGCTGATCTTCGGGGCCCACAGCCTCACGCGCAACCCGCACCCAGGCCCGCTCGACGATCTTGGCGCGCCGAGCGAGCAGACCAGTCCGCGGACAGGCAAGGGCGTGATCCCGAAAGCGCCAGCGACGCCTCCACAGCCGGGCCCGTCGCCGCCACACCGGCTGGGAGCAATGGGCAGGGCAGCCGCAGCCGGGCAACTTGCATGGACCCCGGCGTCAGCGTGGTAGACGCATCAGCCGGGATCGCCGTCAGCCAGGCTCCAGCCTGGGTCTTCGCTTGGGGCCGGAGGCCTTTGAAGACGGTGGGGGCGCACTTCCTCCAACAAGTCCTGCCAGAAGGGGACAGTCGCCCTGCCTTCCGCTTGCAGCCGAGCTCGGGCCGCCTCCGCTTCCTGTAAGCTGGGCGGGCCTGGCCCGAGCGTCGGGGAACTGAGCTTGGCGACCCGCGCTTCCGCGAAGCCGGCACGACGTGCCTGCATTACCGCGAGCGCATCAGCCCAACCCGCCCAGTAAGCCGCAGAAACCTACGCAGCCGAGCTGAGCCCCAAGCCGCCCATAGCAGCTGGAAGGCCTACAGTAGCCCGCGCGTACGCGAGACCTTCGGGCGTCCGTGTCCCACAAAGCTGCGTCGCCCCCCGTCGCAACTTCTTTCGGCCCAGATGCAATAAACAACAGAAACGGGCAGCGGCGGGCGCGAGCGCGCAGCGTCGCAAACACAAGAGGCCACTGCGCCGATCAGCCATTCTGGCTGCATTGGATGACATGTATGTCGGTTGAAACCCGGGCCGAGCGGGATCCCGCAAAAGACCCCCCCAGTTGCAGCACGCGGTTGCCCAGCCTGAGAGCTAGCCCAGGTGCTTTCCCCCCTTGAAGTGGGCACGTTTGTGTGCCCTGGCCTAGCATTGGTCAACCGTTTTCTGAAGGGCCTTGCGTTTCGAGCATAGCTGTTGTCCCACGCAGGTCTGCAAAGCAGCCGAACTTTCACGGTGCCACCCACCTTTTCACCGCCCTTGCGGTGGCGCGTTGGACCGCCTGGGCGCCCATTCGGCCGTTTGCGCACCAAAGGCGGGGCAACCAATGTCCCGAATTAGGTAGTTTCAAAAGATGTGAAACGCAGTGTTTCTGATGAGGCCCCACGAGGGGGTACATGTCAAGGTACGAGCACGGCTCGGTACGGGTGCGAGATTTGGGTGCGGTGTTTGGCGCGTTGTGCGGTACGGCGCGCGGCGCGGGTATCAGTACCGAATTAGCGGCTGAAACTCCAGAATAGGAATTTCTGCCACTAATGTACCCGTACCAAATTAGCGGCTGAAATTCCAGAATTTCTGCCGCTAATTTTGGATTTTCTGCCGCTAATTTGGTACGGGTGCAGGGTGCGCCGCGCCGCACCATAAGGCGTACCACGTTTCCGCGCCCCCGCGCCGCACCTTGCGCCACAAGGCGTACCGTGCCCCCGCACCCCGCGCTGCACCTCGCACCATCAGGCGTACCATGTCGCCGCACCATGCGCCGCGCCTATTTTGAGCTGTTTTTTCTGCATATCAGAGCACACCTTTTGAAATTAGCTAAGTCCCGACGACAGCGGCTTCCAGCACGATATCGTAAGCGCCATCGGCGTTCCATGATCGCGACGTTGCCCCAGCGCACGCCTGGGCCGACGCTATGCCTGGTGCCCAAGCCATGCCTTCGACGTGACACGGCTGCCCTGCGCCTCCGCCAAGGATGGCCCTTGCAGAGGGGCTTTGCCGATGTGGCACAAGGATGGCAACAGGCGAAGGGGGAAAGAAGAGGGAAAAACAACACAAAAGCAGGGTGCCGGCGCCCGAACCGCCCATGATTTCGCTGAAATGCAATCTGATGCCCCGAATCGTCAACATGAGTGTACTGGAAACCTCACGACGTTTCTTTTTTGGTTATTGTGCTTTTCGCTACGGCGAAATCACTTTAATTAGGCTCCTTCCCCGGCAAGTGAAGGTTTCACCAGCCGAAAGGTTTTTTGCGCGCAGAAGTACTATGTGCTTATCACGCGCGGGACTGTGAGCATTGCTGCGCGCACGCAGTCGAGCGGATGTGCTTATCAGGACTATGAACGCGCACGCAGTCGAGCGGCTGTGCTTATCATGTGCATGATTATGAGCATTGCTGCGCGCACGCAGTCGGGCGGATGCGCACGCAGTCGAGCGGATGTGTTTATCATGTGCATGACTATGAGCTGCAGTCGGGCGGACCTGCTTATCATGTGGGCGGATGCACTTATCATGTGCATGACACTGAGCGTTGCTGCGCGCACGCAGTCGAGCGGATGCGCCTTTCATGTGAGCATAGCTGTGCGACGTGATTATCATGTGCATGACTGAGCATTATCATGTGCATGACACAGCGTTTCTTGCGCGCAGGCAGTTAGACGGAAGTCCTTCGCAACATCGGGGAAACGAAACTCCAAGGGGCCATGAAACCCAATGAAACCGGAGAACAATGGGGCTCTAGAAAGCTGCTGACCAGCAAAACATATACAAACACATCGGGCGGTTCAGGCGCCGGCACCACAAACGCGTTGACGGGCCCCTGAGGCTCCTTTCTATCCTCCTTGCTGACCTCGACAAAGCAGCTGGCCTTGCTGACCTCCCAGGCTGGGCCACGCAACAGCCTGAGAACGGCCCTCACAGTGCTGCCGACGCGCGATGAGTTCACGCTGCAGGTCCGTTGCATGCTCCTCCAACGCCCTGCGCTTTCCGCAGCCACTCGGAGCGCAAACGTGCTGTTGTGGTGGTGGCCTGGACGATTTTTGCGTCCACCGGGCAGCTTGCTGCTCGGGTCGCGACCAACGTTCTGCTGCGCGACCAGCCGTGCGGCGCAGCACCGAGCGGCCACTTCCGCTCACCAGCGCCGGAGCGTTCGTTGCGAGCCGCTGCCAATTTCCGCACTGCGGATCATAATGACAGCTTTGAGGCCTGCGGAATAGGGTTGGATCCGGTCGCCGCCGTTCACCCTAACACTTGCGTTTTTTTCCGCTGTTTTCCGTCTAGCTGCGGTGAGACTGGGTGAGACCTCTGCGCGCTACACCCCCGGCGCCCGACGGGCGTTGGACAACACGTCTCCTTCAAGCGGCGCGCTGGCGTACGCATCGCCAAGCCGCGTTCAAGCTGGAAGCAGTGCCCCGCCGTGTTTTCTCCAAAACTTGTTTGACTGGTCTGATATGTGCTGCGTGCATGAATGAGCGTGCCGGAACTGAGCGTTTTGGCGCAGCGCACTTTTGCTGGTTCATTCTTTCCGCGCTCGTTGCTTAAAACCCAGTGGTCCTGGCTTGATTCGGAACATGTTTCTGCAGCTTGAGAAAAAACCCTTTGTGGGTTGGTTTCTGTCAGGAGGCGTGGCGGGCTGCAACAATGTAGATTGGCACATGGGCTGTAGCATCCGAGGGCATGGCGCGAAATGGTGGATTGAAGTTTGCTAAGCGGCCGGTCCCCCATTTCTGGCCTGGAATTCTTGCGTGTTTTTTTTTCCCCCCCCCTACGTTTTCGCGTTTTCACGCGACTTTGTGCTTTGCAGGCCTATTCTACTTTTAGTTTTTTTTTTTTTTTTGGTTCTGCCCGTTTCCAGTTTTTGCGGTTTGCGCGTTTTCGTTCTCTCCAGTGCTGTTTGGGGTGCTTTTTGAGGTACTGGTGATGGCGCGGGGGCATTCTTGTGACCATGCCGCTTGGGCTGGGGTGCTGGCGCAGGCCTGGTGGCGTCAGGGGCGAATTTTGTCAGAATTTTGATAGACTGCTGTTTGGGGTGCTGTTTGAGGTGCTGCTGACTGTGTGGGAACATTTGTGCGAGATTGACGGCTGGTGTTTTGGGGGTGCTATCTGGAGTCTATGCTGGTGTAATGTTTTGTGCTGTGTGTGTGTGTGAGGTTGGTTGAGGGTTTCGGGTTGCTTTAGGGTTGGTTTAGTCTGCTTGGTTGAGGGTTGGTTTCGGGTTGGTTTCGGGTGGGTTTCGGGTTGGCTCCGGGTTTCGTAGGGTTGGTTGCTTGAGGGTTCGGTTGCTTCAGGGTTGGTTTTAGTTGAACTAGGGTTGGTTTAGGGTCGGTTTGCCGGTTTTGCATTTTTGCGTTTTCGTGTTCGAGTTTTTGCGTTGCGCGTTTTCGTGCGGCATTTGGCGAAGACACTGTGGAAAACACAGACAGGTCCCCGGCTTCCCTGCATGCAGGCGTTCTTTCCTGGCTGTATGTGCTGCGCAACATTCGCCTTCAGCTGGTTCAACATTTCTTCCTTCGTATGTGGTGGATCCCAAGGCGTTGAACAAGAGGGGCGTTCGGGGCAGCATGTTGCTTTTCCGACAATTTTTGGTCGAGCTGGGCACCATGCAAAG